CTATACAACTTTTTGAATCGTTTAGATTTAATTTAGGCATTTTTTTCGTACCCAAATGGTCAGACGGTCATACGGTCATACCTTGGTCAAACGGTCAGACTTGTTTAAAATTACAAGATTCATCGGTTGAAAAGTGTTAACATCATAATAATCATATCGTATGACTGATTTCTCTAGTTGAAATCGGTCGCAACAATATGGATTGAGCATTTTTTTTGGATGTCAAAGTAACTCTTTTCAAAGAAGACCTAGACTACTAGTAGTGTTTGTGTAACACATTGGAAACAATTGACTTATGTTGGTAGATTTTTTTTTCCACATGAAATTAGAACTCCAAAACGATAAAAAAGTATTCTTGTGACCCTTATACAACTTTTCTAATCGTTTGAATTTAATTTAGGTCTTTTTTTTCGTACTCGAATGGTCAGACGGTGAGACGGTCAGGTGGTCATACCTTGGTCAGACGGTCAGACTTGTTCGAAATTGCATAATTCATCATTTTAAAAATGTTAACATTGTAATAATCACATCATATCACAAATATTTCAAGTTCAAATCGGTCGTACCAATATGGATTGAGTACATTTTTTGTTTGTCAATGTAACTCTTTCCAAAGAAGACCTAAAATAATAGTAGTGTTTATGTAACACATTGAGTACAATTGACTTATGTCGAGAGATTTTTTTTTCCACGTGAAATTAGAACTCCAAAACGATGCAAAATAATCTTATAACCCCTATACAACTTTTTGAATCGTTTAGATGTAATTTAAACATTTTTTTCTGTACCCAAACGGTCAGACGGTCATACGGTCATACAGTCATACCTTGGTCAGACGGTCAGACTTGTTCGAAATTTTATAATTCATCGTTTTAAAAGTGTTAACATTGTAATAATCACATCATATCACAAATATTTCAAGTTCAAATCGGTCGTAGCAATATGGATTGAACACATTTTTTGTTTGCCAATATAACTCTTTCCAAAGAAGACATAAAGTAATAGTAGTGTTTATGTAACACATTGGGTACAATTGGCTTATGTTGAGAGATTTTTTTTTCCACGTGAAATTAGAACTCCAAAACGATGCAAAATAATCTTATAACCCCTATACAACTTTTTGAATCGTTTAGATGTAATTTAAGCATTTTTTTCCGTACCTAAACGGTCAGACGGTCATACAGTCATACCTTGGTTAGACGGTCAGACTTGTTCGAAATTGCATAATTCATCGTTTTAAAAGTGTTAACATTGTAATAATCACATCATATCACAAATATTTCAAGTTCAAATCGGTCGTAGCAATATGGATTGAACACATTTTTTGTTTGTCAATATAACTCCTTCCAAAGAAGACATAAAGTAATAGTAGTGTTTATGTAACACATTGGGTACAATTGGCTTATGTTGAGAGATTTTTTTTCCACGTGAAATTAGAACTCCAAAACGATGCAAAAGTATTCTTATAACCCCTATACAACTTTTCGAATCGTTTAGATTTAATTTATGATCAGTTTTGCAAGTATGACCAGTTTGACGAGTTTGAGAATTATGACCAGTTAGGAGTATGACCAGTCTGACCATTCCGATACGTATGTATGACCAGTTTCCTGAATTCTTCCGTTTTGATGAATTTCACAAATTTAATGATTTCGACCAATTTAAATAACGTGAATCGTGGTATTTCTGATAAATATATCATTTTTTATTCAACCCATATTCATATGGATCAAATATAAAGATGAGAAAACAACAAAGCAAAAATACTTACAAATGCTCAAATTTAATAACGAAATTTATAAACAATACTTTCCTTTATTCAGATTTATTCAGATCAGTGTTTAATCGATGAAATGCCCAAACTTAATGTTATTTTTTCACAATAAATTAGCTGAAAAAGAAATGAAGATGAAGCCTCCAAATCATAGAAGAACGGTAATTCGACAGAGGTGAGAGAGGAGAGAGAGAAGAGAGAGAAAAAATATTTATAATATATATTTTTTAATTTAATAATAAATTACAAACAAAGGGTATTTTTGGAAAGATACAATTATAAGGTTATGCGATGATGTTGTCTTTTTTTTTTAAAAAGTCAGGTTCATCCCTTGAAGTCAAATCGACAATTGAGGTTATTTTTGCAATTCCCCCGAATTTAAGTGGTGATATTTTTTATATCCGAATTTGCCCCTCCAACTCTGGATCCAATTTTATTGATAAAATAAAAAATAGAAAAACGGTTGGTTTTCTTTGGTGGGGTCGTGGCGTGACCACTTTTATTGAAAGCTTTTGAATTTTTGAAAATAATAATAGTAATAAAAAGACTGCGTCTTTCTCGAACACCGAGGCAGTAAACATGTAGGGCTACTTCGGTAATTTTGGTCCCCCGAACCTCGGCCTGGTAACTTCCGAAAACAATATAGGAAAGCATTTGAAAATTAAAATGTACTATCAATCTGAAAACAACTTTTATTTATATTTTTGTTTTATAAGTATTTATTTTATTTCATATATTAAACGAAAATTGAAAATTTTAATATATTCGTAAAAAAAACATGATGTCGCTCAAAAGAAAACGTCTATAATCATTTTCTAAAAATATTTGATTATATATAAGAATAAAATTTCATTTTGTGTCATATATAAAAAAATCTATTATATTAATTAACTTATTTCTTTTAACCTCAATTAAATACATTTTTACAATGATAAATTAGTATACGAAAAATATTTTAAGATGAAAAATACATAGTCAATAAAAAAGTATACTTGTTTGGATGTTTTAATAATGGCAAATAAATCTATTTAAATATATGTAAATAAGATTTTAATGGGGTATCTTATGAAATTAAACCTTTTCCATGGTTTTCATTTTTTATAGATTCGTGTTAAATTGATCATAATTCTCTGAATAACAAATTACTATATACATAAGTAAATGAAACCGTTTTAAATTACTGCATTAAATCCGAATATCATATCGTCGTTGTATTTATTTTATTTTAGCAGCTCGTTTTTATGATCTACATTTCAAAACATACCCTAATATTCCTTTTTTCCTCGTCTCTTAGTTATCAAATTTTAATAGGAATAATATTGTAATTTATTCCGTACGCTTGCAAATTAAATATGATTTCGTAATTAACTTACATATAAATTAAAATTCCCTCTTTTCTCCCTTAGGGTTCAATAAAAGTCTCTCACTTTGTTTTTTAATATATAAAAAATTTAACTGTTTCTCCGTGTTGATCTCGCGTTTTGTCGCAGACCGAAACGAAAGTTCAAAGCTTTGCAGACGCAGATTTTTCTATAAAGAAGATTTAGGGTGTAAACGCGAAACTTTTTTCCTAGGGCTTTGTTTTCATCGTTCTCGGATTCTTCAAAAGAAATCGGTTTCTACTTTCAAATCTTCTGTTCTAGATTCTTGTTTCGTCTTCCCTCTTGCGTTTTTTTTTGTGTCTATCGTTCTCGTTTGTTCTTCTGAGATCTTTGATCGAGCGTTTGGATCGTTGACTCGGCGGCGGCTCCCGATTTGGGTTCGGCGGATTTCCACCTTTTTCGGGTGAAAATTATCTGGGTTAGGATTTTTTTTGAGTGTTCGTGGGATTAGGATTCTGAAAGGGAAGATTTTGTTGGGCATTTGGTTATGATGTTGACTCAAACTGTTGGGGTCTGAAGTACTATGGAACTGGTTCTTACACGACAAGAAGAACATCAACAAAGGAGAAGGAGAAGATGACGCTTTACATTGGTCGGGAAGCTTCCAAGGTTCGTCATTTCCCCATTTCATTTCTGGGTTTTTTGGGTTTTTTTTTTTAATTTTCGGATGATTTGGTATATTTTTTTTTCTCATTATTCATTCGTTCTTCTTGTTCTTTGTAGTTATGGAAGAGAATTTGTTCAGAGATAACTACGGAGGTCGGTCTTCTCGCTGAGAACTGGAGATACCTTCTTGCCGGTCTCGTCTTTCAGGTTTCTGTCTTGAATTCAAGTTTTCCGATTACTTCATAAAGTGTTTCTCTTTCGTTTTCTATGAGAAGTCGCAAATACTCAAACTGGGTGTTTGGGTTTTGAGATCCAAGGCTTCAACTTTGATTTGAGTTCATTCAAGACCTCTGATTCTAATTGTTGTTGATTACGTGTTGTTGCTCAGATTCTGGTTCGTGGAAGATTTAATTTACTTTGTCGCTAGTTCTTTTGCTGAGTCGTTGACTGACCACACGCTTATCTTTTACAGTCTTTTGCATTCTATAGGAAACTTCAATGGAAAGTGTAGGATGTGGTAAAAGGTTATGATCATGGATTGTTTATATACATTGTAACTTTTTGAGAAAGCTTGTGCTTTTGTGGAGAAAATTGTTTTTTTTTTTCAAATTTCATTCAAGCGACGTGATATTGATGATTTTGTGTAGTTATTTTGACACTGTGAATTCATCTGTTGCGTGCAGTATATACATGGGTTAGCTGCGAGGGGAGTTCATTACCTTCATCGCCCTGGACCGACCCTTCAGGATCTCGGCTTTTTCCTTCTTCCCGTATGTCTTCCATTTCAGCATTGTGATCTCTTGAGCACTATTTCTTGTTCTCAAATCTTGTTTGCTTGTTTTGTTTTTTACAATTTCAGGAACTTGGTCAAGATAAAGGCTACATAAGTGAATCCTTATTCACCTGTGTATTTGTATCGTTTGTCCTGGTGAGTCTCTCAGTTTGGCTCGGTTCTGTTTTCGGGTTTGGCTGTAAGAAACGTTCGTTTAAGATCATGGAAGTCTTTCTTTGATTGAGATTAGGGAATTCGTCAGTTTATATGATGCTTTGGTTCTTTTGATTTTTTTGTTTCAGTGGACATTCCATCCGTTCATCCTGAAAAGCAAAAAGATATACACGGTGTTAATATGGTGCCGGGTTTTAGCATTCTTAGTTGTAAGTCCAAAACGTTTTTCACTATAAGATCTTACGAGGCTTTCCGGTTTCTACATGAATCTGAAACGCATTTTTAATCTGTTGTCTTACAGGCCTGTCAGATTCTTCGTATCATAACGTTCTATTCGACTCAGCTTCCTGGGCCTAACTATCACTGTCGGGAGGTAAAGCAACTGATATGTATGGATATATGTATGGTCTGAATCTATATGCGTTAACGTATTTATTTCTTGTATGTTATAGGGCTCTAAGCTTGCCAGGTTGCCACGGCCACAGAGTGCTCTTGAGGTGCTCCTAATTAACTGTAAGTATATGTCTTTCGTGTAGGAATCTTGTAAACCTCATACTGTATTCGTGTACTTCTTCTGTATATTCTTCTCTGCTAAATGCATATGCCCTTATCTTGGCAGTTCCCCGAGGTGTAATGTATGGTTGCGGAGACCTGATTTTCTCGTCCCACATGATTTTCACGCTGGTCTTTGTCCTCACTTACCAGAAATACGGCTCTAAAAGGTACATACAGACACAGCCACCACTCGCCAAAATCTTATTGTTTTCGTTTCTGATGATCTGAGCATCTTCTTGTTTTTTTGGTTTGCCTCTCAGGTTCATAAAGATGGTCGGATGGCTCATTGCCGTGGTGCAAAGCTTCCTGATTATCGCTTCCCGTAAACATTACACTGTAGATGTCGTAGTTGCATGGTATGGTTTTGATTAAGCGTCGTTCAAGAAATCGTTTCTTTTTGGAACTCTGAATCGCTCAGAGACGGAGAATCTTGATTCGGGTCTTGTTAAAATTTCGGTGTGTGTAGGTATACCGTGAACTTGGTGGTGTTCTTCCTAGACAAGAAATTACCAGGTGTGATTCTCTTTTTCACTAACAGTAATTCATACAAGTTTTTACCAAAAAAAAGGGTTCTTAAATCCTTTTTTTGTCTGAAATGTGTACACAACAGAACTACCGGACCGGACGACATTGCTGCTTCCTGTGATGTCCAAAGACAGAACCAAAGAAGAGAACCACAAACTCTTGAACGGAAATGGCACTGACCCTGCAGATTGGGTATAATAATACACGCCAATGGATCTTGCTCTGTTTTCTTGCTTGATTTGTGATTACTGATGATATACGTATCGATATACGTATATGAAAATGTGAATACTGATCGATACGGTGTATTTACCATTCTGTTGTGGTTTGGTTTGGTCAGAGGCCAAGAACTCAGGTGAACGGCAAGAATTATGAAGACAGCAATGGAGTTCACACCGACAATGGCATGAACGGCGCTTGAACTCTTTTAGTGATCGATCGGTTCGTCTCTGATTTCTGGAAATTTGGAATTTTGCTTTTGTGTGGGTAAATTTTGTTTTTTTTTTCTGGTTATTGTTCCATGGAAGAACGAGAAAATGCAAAAATACAAAAAAAAAAAATGGGAAGAGTGGGCTATATATATATATGCACATTGTATATTTCCAAGTTTCTTGCCCCTTAAGTAATCGCCTTTCCTCACACCAATCTTCCGGTTTTGGTATATATATTTTTTGTTTCAACTTCTATAAAAATCGACGCCTACGAGTGTTTGTATGTGTGTGTGTATGTATGTATGTATGTATGTATGTATGTATGTATGTATGTATGTATTAGTGTAATAAGAGTATATGTATATATGTTTTAGTACATCCTATTTTATGGATATCATTCTCTTTAAATATCTAATTAAATTGACTACACAACCGAATATTATAAACAATAAATATTTTGATTTTTTTCTGTTTAAACGAGTTCGATAGAAAATTAATTTTCAACGTAATAAAATTGAGATTACTCTTTTGTAATAAGATTATGAAAGAATAATATAACGTAGAAATATTTGAAACTGATATTATAATTGTGAAAATATTTTATACTAAAATTGTATCTTCGAATCGAATGTAACGTTTATTGCATTGAATAACAATTGTATTTCATTATGTATCTAAATAATATATCAGGATGATTTTTTTTTATGTCATTGAACGAGTTTCGTTCACTGCAGAAACTCAATGAACTCTTTTACCTTTTTAAGGGTAATCTTGATAATTAAAAAAATGTATAATTTGCAAATATCATTGTATAAATATTCTTTTTGCTAATGTAGTTTAAATTAATGTGAAAATTAGAATATAAAACAACATGGCATGAAAATATTTGATGCTATTGTAAAAAGTAAAACGAGATGACCGGATTATTGACTCAAATGGTAAGTGGGTATACGCAATGAGTACTTCACCCAGGTTCGAACCCACTCTTGGCAAATTATACGTTATCAAAAAAAAAAAAAAAAAAAAAAAAAGAGATGTTGTCAAAGTGATAGTCCATGTGGACTCACGTGTCCTAACATCTTTTGCTTTCGCTTAGGATTCTCTCTCTTTCTCTCGAGATATATTAAAACATTTTTCTTTCATATTACGAAAATGATAGATAATAAATCGATAATTTTACACTAAATATAGAAATTGATGTAGTCTTGTGTTATAAAATTTTCCTAATCGATCCGACATTAAAAGTATATTGATTTTTCCCCAATAACCGAATACTTTTGTCTGTAAATACTGCATATTTGATTCCATCCATAAATCGATTTTCTTCCCTACTCGCTATATAATCTAGGGCTCAAGAAAATTGAACTTCTCTAATAATTTATTTTCAAATTTTGAATGATTTTTTTTTATAAAAAGTAATATTTATTTTGATGTAAAATTTGATGAATGGCTAATAATCGCGCATATATGTGTGTGGAGAGACATACATATCGAATAATATTGGTAGGTTTGATATGACAACAATCATTGTTGAATGTCTCGAGAAAAGACTAATTTTTATTATCTTAATGCTTTTATTGTTTTTAAAAATAAAAATACTTTGTTATTATCTATTATAATTGATACTAGAATTTTATTGGGTCCTTTTGAAATCCTATATGGGTAGAAACATGATTATAACCAACTATCTAGATAAATATTATTTTTTTTTATAAAATAATTATTATGATTTTAGACCATCTCCTTTTCATTTATGAAAAATATTTTTTTAACGAGTGGGTTATATGATAACTTGAGTTTGGACAAACATGCCTTTGTCTCCTCCTTTTGGTTAGAAGTGTCCCTCTAATTGGTCCCATCCTTTTCCACTGCATATACATTTTATTTTTTTTATATCACATTTAAATTTCCTATTAAATTATATTTCATTGATATAGTATAATTGAAAGTTCACATAAAATCTATACTACAAATTATTCGTAATCCTGTTTTTAAAAGTACGTATCTATATTTTGAAATGGATTTCGAAAGCAGGTGTATACAAATATGTAAATATTTAATATTTTTAATTGATTAAAGTTTGTGTGTGTGTGTATATTTTAATCAAAACCAACGTTAGACATATAGTTTTCTCCAAAAATTTAATGTTTAAATATTTTAGTCTCTTTCTTAATATATTATACTCAAACTCGATATGAAAATTATAATATCGAGAGAGAGATATATGGGACGATGGAATGGAAATATATTGTTCTCCTCGGCGTTTTTGCATTTCGAGACTTGTGTTCTTGCTCTCTACAAACACACCCACAACAAATATATCTCGACTTTCAATGGGACGTCCTCGAGAATACCTGCAGGATACTTGACGGATCTATCCGCAAGCTGTAGTGCCATGCTCGTCGCCTTGAGATCTCCGATGTTGAGCTTTTTATAGATAAATAATGGAAGCAAACTCACACTGGCACCAAAATCGCACAATGCACAGTCAATTTCAATGTTTTTGATTTTGTAGGGAATCGAAAAACTACCTGGATCAGATCTCTTCCGTGGCAACTCATGATGTAGAATCGCAGCGCTCACCTCTGTGCTCAAGGATACTGTCTCCTTCCCAATCACCCTCTTCTTAGTCAAAATATCTCTAAAAAATTTCGC